AATTTCACACGTTGCTGTTTTGGGACCTGACCTTAAGGATATGCTTAAAAAGTGTTTTCAGCAGAAAGCTGATAAATCCAAGGTTTGGGGTCGCACGTAACCGAGTCCATTTTTTTCTTTGACCACAATTGTAACCACTCTGCTATATTGTCAGTGGAAGTCCTTGTTCAGAAAGGGAACACAGCCAAGAAATGAGGTTCACATCAAATAATTTCATCCCCATTACTGGAAGAGCAAGTCATGTGTTCTATCGACAACATTTTACAGTTAGAATAATGTACCTGACTAAAGAATCACCCAACTTCTGTGGAGGGACGTTTAAGCCCATCATCGTTATAACATTATATTTCTATAAAAATAAAGATTTTAGTCACTTCCGGGGCACCTGGGTTGCTCAGTCGATTAAGCGTCCGACTTCAGCTCAGGTCATGATCTCGCGGTCCGTGAGTTCGAGCCCGTGTCGGGCTCTGAGCTGATGGCTCGGAGCCTGGAGCCTGCTTCCGATCCTGTGTCTCCCTCTCTCTCTGCCCTCCCCCATTCATGCTCTGTCTCTCTCTATCTCAAAAATAAATAAACGTTAAAAAAATATAAATAAAAAAATAAAAAATAAAAAAGAATTTAGTCACTTCCAATGCTATGCCAGTTATGAAATCATGATAAAAATAAGTACAAATTCATCTCTGCTTCTTTGTCCACAAAGACAAAGAAAAACTGAGAAAGAGAAAGGAGGAGCAATGGGGAGGTACATATAAACCTAAGAAGATGAGTCTTCAATTTGGGCAAAATAGTGTAATAGAAGAAACAGTCACATAGTACCAGGCTATATCTACTTGTTACCAGAATATCCTGGGTCGAGTTACACAACACATTAATTTCTATTTACAAAAAATTTTTTTAACCTTTATTCATTTTTGAGAGAGTGCAAGCGGAGGGAGAGGCAGAGAAAGAGAAAGACACAGAATCTGAAGCAGGCACCAGGCTCTGAGCTGTCAACACAGAGCCCGACGTGTAGCTCGAACTCACAAACCGTGAGATCATGACCTGAGCTGAAGTCGGATGTTTAACTGACCGAGCCACCCTGGCGCCCCATTAATTTCTATTTTAATTTTTTTAATCTTTATTTATTTTTGAGAGAGAGAGAGAGAGGAACAGAGAGAAAGGGAGGCATAGAATCCGAAGCAGGCTCCAGGCTCTGAGCCATCAGCACAGAGCCCGATGCGGGGCTCGAACCCACAAACCACAAGTTCATGAGCTGAGCCGAAGTCTGATGCTCAACCAACTGAGCTATTCAGGCACCCCTTTTAATTTGTATGTTAAAAGAAAGCCATGCTGGGTGTTTTTTTTTTTTTTAAGCTGTGTGTAACATCAGTCAAAATGATAGAAACAGATAAGCCATGTAGATACGACAACCACAGCAGAGTGTAAGACACAGCCACGATTTATCTATACACAGAAATACAGTGTATGGAGAGCTCTGAATTTATTTGGAATGCGCAAATAGAAGGTTAGAGGCATTGGTTTCCCTGTTTGAAACTCGGTGGGAATAAAATCCCATTTTCTCCCTCAGAGGGGACACATTGGTAGGGATGTTTGTGCTAGACCATGTGACA